GTGTCCACGTGAAGAGCTGGTGAAATCTGAGTAAGGTCTGTAGTTTAGTTAATAGTATTAAACCAATGTCAATTTTCTGGTTTTGAAAATGGACTGTGGTTACATAAGATGTTATCAATGGGAAAGCCTGGTGTTAGGGGAAGGCCACTCTGTACTATTTTTGTAACTTCTTGTGAGTCTTAGAGTATTTCAAAATAATAAGTTGGGGGAAAAAAAAAAGATACAGCAACTAAACAATTACCCACCATGTCTGCCACCAAGCAATGCAGCTAATTGTAGCAGAGAACACAAAAGGCCAGAAATCCAATCACCATTAATGATTCCAGTCTCCTTCCATCTCAGTTTAGCACTCCAAGACATTTACCAAGTGGAAAAGACATTCATCTGTTTCTGAAAAAGTGTTAAATTTCAATTCAGAAGGAAATTCCCTTAGAGATCTGGATCTGCATCCTCCAGAAACATTTAGGGCCCTACCATGTGCACTGCCAGAGGTCAGAGGTCTTCCTGAAAAGACTAAGATGTCAAATTCCAGATCTATAGACTCATTTTATGATCACAGACTAAATAGCTATATACTGAGAGTAATCTAAGCCTTGACTGTAATTTTCTTCATGTGTTGTAGTTTTGGGCAAAACAGATGCTGTTCTGTTTTAAGACTTATTTCCTTGGAACATCTTCACAATCTCTTTCCCCCTTTCAGATACTCGCCTTTCTTCTGTTCTCCTTTACTCAAAACATATGGCTTAGCCCCACATTATGGTTTTCTTGTGGGAAGTCTGGATGGGACTAGAAAAACACATGGTTCCAACATGGCACGTACCTCTTTGTGCAGATACCAAACAAGATTTAGTCTCGTCTAACTTAAGCCTGTTGTTCCAACATTTCCCTGTGGCCTTTCTGGGCACAGCAATGATGAGCATCGTTTGAAATGGGTTTCATTACCAGAAGTAAAGAAGGGAACACAAAACTTCGTGGACTACCATAAATCCTCCATCTCCTGGTCTTCATTTCCAAAGCAGCACTTGGAAAGCCAAGTCTAGGCCAGACAAAGAGTTGCTTTCTTCTCACCACCGTTAAACCCCAGTACTCGATATGGTCGAGAAGACACAGGTGCTGAAACTGCCTCCGTCTCCCACTTCTTCTGAGACGAAAAGCTCTTTCCCTGCTGGTTGCTTATGTGTTTTTATATTCACAATGGGCTTCCCCTTTCTCAAAACTCCGAAAAGCTCCCTTCCACGTCATACTCTGCACCTGACTTTTCATTTTTTTAATGGACATGTTTATAGTCTCTATCACCTAGAATGTCTTCTTTCTCCATATCCATTCAGCTTTGATCTTCAAGACACTTAACTTTTTCCGTCCTCACTCAGCTCTCTCTTCAGAGAGATCTGCTTTTGTGCTTCAGAGTGGATTCCCCACAGGATCCCCGTGCCTCCCCTACTTGCCCTAACCTGCTCCGCCCTTCTCACACTCCCTCCGTTACCCCTTAGTATGCAGACTTCTTTCTAAACCTCCACCTGCCTCCCGTCCAGTCACAGCACATT